TTGGGGTCGGAGCGAAGGTCTGAAAGAAGTCTACCCCCTCTCGCTGACTGAAGCCTCTAGCCACGTAGCGCGCCTTGAACACAGGCGGCTCTCTAGGGGGGCGCTTCACCTTGAAGTGCCACCGGCCATTAACTATGTTCACCCCAGGTGGGGGACACTGCGTCAACGTAGGTGCCGGTGGATCTCCAAGATGCCATCTCCGGCTCCATGGCAGCTATCCATTGAGAGGCCCAGGGTTCCGAGGTCGCCTCAACGAAAGTGCGTGGGGTCGGGATGTCAAAGGCGTCTAGGTCACCCTCAGGAACTAGCAGCATGGAACAGAGATGGGGAGCAGCCTTCGACAGGAAAGCAAGCTTGTATTGCCTGTCCTCTAGGACGTCACTGCCAAGGGCTGGAGCACTCCCAACGGACGGAGGACAGACATGGTCAAAGACCAGAGTGGTGGCGTAGTCAAGGCGGCAGGTAGAGGTGAAGTCAGCGATAACAGCGACAAGAGCGTTTAGACTCGAGACAGGAACAGACAGGTTGGAAACAAAAGGGAGGCAAGGACCCGAGGAACAAGAGGACAAGTAGTACGAAGGTAGTCAGACATAGGGGGAGGCGCGACAGCGAGCAACGACGGAGGACGGGAGGACGCGACGTGTGGGAACGAAGCAGTATAGGGTGAGAGCCCTGAATAGGAGAGATAGGACGAGCACGAGAGGGACGGCGAGACCAGACGTGAGACGGAGGCGTCACTTCAGGAGACAGTGGTGTAACAAGACAGGAACGAAGTGGGAAACGAGCAGGGGACGTTTGTGGCGGAGGAAACACAGGACCATGGACAGGTAGGGGAGGAGGCAGTAGGGGAGGCGCAAGCGAGCAGTCAGGGGAGGGAAGGCCGAGCAAGCTAAGGGCAAACACTGGCGGTGAATGCTGCTGCTGCTGCAGGACGCCGACACCTTGACCACCAGCTGCACCACGGCTACCTCCGGAACAATCCACTCCAGCACCCTCAAAACGAGCACCTCTAGAGCGAGAACCCTCTCCAGCACCGGTGCCACCCTCGAGCCTGCCTGGACAAGCCACGACAGGAACCCTAGGACTAGCACCCTCCTCAACTCCAGCACCCCCAGAGTCCATGAGCGGCTGGTTCTGCGGCAGCGGCGGCTCTTGCTGCGGCGGTGACTGCGACGGCGGAGGAGGAGACACCGGGGGAGAGACAGGTGGCGAGAACTGCGTTGCGGGCCACCAGAGTCAGCCGAATCCTCGACCGGGACAACCAATGGGAGGGGAGTGACCTGAGGCACACGAGACGGAGCAAGACGGGGAGGGAGGTGAGTAGGGGCTACCGAGGGATTGGGAACCAGAAACAGGGGAGGGGAAACCAGGAGACATCGGTGGGGAAGGCGGTGGTAAAAGGAGACAGACTCGTCGAAAGTGGCATCACGAGAGTGAAAGGAGCGGTGAGATGGCGGGTGGTAAAAGTGCCAGTCAGACGAGTCAAGGGGAAAACCGAGGAACACACAGGGGACAGTGCGGGCAATGAGCTTGTCCGTGCTAGAGGCATGAACATGAGTGAGGCAGACCCAAACGTGGAATGTAGACACGTCACCAGAGAACCTGGTCCAAAGAAGGGTCGGCGAAACCTGCGGCCGCTGTGTGAGAGTACAACCCCGTTCCATTCTTTTCTCCTTTCCATATTCCCTTTCCATTACATTAGCGTAATCCTTCCGTAATCCCTTAAAGACAATAGCCACGCATGGCTATACGCGGGGTGATTCTATTTTCTAGAAGGGTCTATTCCCTTGAGATAGGATAGACCTGGTTACTTGATGTACTTTGGAAGTATAAAGCGCCTTGTACGGATCGATAGTGCAACCTTTTCTCGAGACATTCGATCTTGTGACACTTGGTAATCAGAGCTTTTCTCACTCGGCCACTCTAAGCTAAGCAGCAGCAGCGGGACTCCTGCCTCGAAAAACCGCCGGGGGCGACCAACTTGACGCCGATTCTGGTAAGCACAAACTCGCATTATTTCGAATTACCCCCTCCACGCGTGTTTTGAACAGGATGGCAAACTTCGACAATGCCGAAGTTACCCAACATCACTGCAAGCAAGCATCGCCACAAGCAAGCATCGCCGCCCTACAGGAGGAGATGCGAGCGGACCGCGAAGCTTGGCGACAAGAGTTAGAGCGAGTAACTCGACTCGCCGGCGCGCAACACAAAAAGACAACGGCGACGACACAGCAGTCGTAGGATTTTCTCGAGGCTCCAAAGCCGCGCCCACCTGAGCTGTTCGATCCAAGCGATCGAAACTCCGACGTCCGCAGATGGATCGCCAACATCCGCAGATGGATCGCCGGCATGGAGATCTACTTCGGAGCCGTCGGATGGAGCTCGCCAGGCTGGGACGGTCAACGCGTACGACTCGCAGCGACATTGATGCGGGGACCGGCACTCGAGTGGATCGGCGGTAACAGCACCTTCATCCACAGCAAAGCCACGTGGCAGCAGTTTCGCACCGACCTGCTGAAACGTTTCGCGCCGATAAATTCGGGTTTCCTTGCCCGGGAAAAAATCATCGCCATCGACAGTTCGGGAGTGTAGCACAGTACACGCAGCAGATGGAAGAATTTTATAACCATATTCCCGATCTCACCGAAGGGGAAAAAGTAAATTCGTACCTCGCCAGGCTGAAGACCAAAGTCAAACGATAGGTAGCAGCGACAAACTACGCGAGCTACAGTGACGTCGTATCGGCAGCGGAACACTTCGACATGGTCAACGCCGGGACACGACGGGCGCACGTCGGCAGTACGCGACAGGGCGACCACTCGGCTCACCCCACGTTCGCCGACCCGATGGAAGTCGACAGGTTCGAAGGGCGGCCACGTCCGTAAAACACCAACTTCACGTGTGATTTTTGCGGGGTGCCGGGTCATCGAATCTTCGACTGCAACAAAATGAAAGCCGCACGCGCTGAGTATCGGGCACGCAACAGTGGCGGAAATCCTTCGGCTAATCAGAAGCAAAAAAACGGGGCTCGCCAGTGATTGCCGACCTAGCTGGCGAAAAAGAAAAGATCTGAAAGCGGCCGCGGAGTTCCGGAAAAATCAACTTCGACGCAGCTGATTCGACGCGAACAGGAGAAAATAATGGGGAAAAATCTCCACCCCATGACGAGTCTTCGCCAGAGGAAATTGCAGAGGAAAAATCTAACTCCGCGAAAAAGGAATCTGCCAAGACGGAGAAACTCCTTGAAGACCCAAGAAATTATAAGGATTCGTTAAAGTTATCTTATAAAGAAGCTTTAATGAAAACTTGTAATTCTCGGAGAAAATTCGGAGAAAATTCGGGGGGACTCCAGAAGAAGCATAAAATTGTGGAGACCATACCGATACCGGAGAACTTGGGGACCAAATTAAGGAGTGTGGAAAGAAGCCGACCTTTCCATGGAGTCAACGTCCTCTCCCGACACCAGCCCACAGCGACTACCCGTTCCCCAGGGAAGACATCGGTGGAGTTGAAGCAGCTCAAGAGGTTGCTGGGGGTCTACAAGAAGCTGCAAAAACCCCGAACTCCTTCTTCGGATGCATCCAACTCGGCAACTTCATCAACGACACGTACACTCGTCACGGAAACTCTGGGCCCTAGAGAACAGCCTTTCTCCAAGCAGCCTCAGCCAGCTTCCAGCTCAGGAGTAGGAAGCAACGAATATAGGGATGTACCCTATGACCCAATCAATGAAATTATCTTTGGGTACTCGGAGCAACACTTGCCCCTCGTGCTCGAGGTCATCTGCAAAGGACGACGCCTCCAAGCACTCGTGGACAGCGGAGCATTGCACGCCGTATGCGACAAGGCAACCATCGACCGACTTCGAGAAGAGTACAAGCCATCAGCGTTTTCTGCAACGATGGTGGACGGCAGCAAATTACCAGTGTACGGCGAAGCAGTGCTACACCTACAAATCGGGCCACTGCGCTGGAAACCTGCTCTCCCCATCACCAAGATAAAAGGGCTTGACCTGATCTTCGGACGAGACTTCCTCAAGAAATTCAACCCCGAGATCAACTGGGTAAACTGCACCGCAAGCATCTACAAGAAAGGAAGGAGAGTCCAGCTACCCAACAGGGACAATATAGGAGATATCCCAGTGGAGACAGCCGCCAGGTTCGAGAAGGATGTGGAAAGAATCAACACCGAGTTCCTGGCGCTAGCAATAGACATGGAAAGAGAGGAAGAGAAGACCCCGGAACCTCCAAGAGAAATCAAGGAAATAATGAAGGAGCTCCAAGACATTCTTCCCAACGACCTCCCGGACGAGCTGCCGCCATACCGAACGCACCAATACAAGATCGTGGAGGAACCAGGTTCGAAACCGACCTTCCGAGCACCATATCGGCTAAGCCCTACAGAACTAGCCGACATGAAGAAACAGATTGAGTATCTCCTCGCCAATGGACTCATCCGACCATCTACGTCACCATACGGTGCCCCAGTACTCTTTACACCGAAACCAGACGGAAGCCTGCGCATGTGCATTGACTACCGAGCTCTCAACAAGAAGACCATCAAGAACAAATACCCAATCCCACGAATCAATGACCTGCTTGACCAGCTTCGGGGAGCCACGGTATTTTCATAAGTATATCTGCGGTCTGGATACTGGCAGATAAGAATGGCGGACGATTCCGTTCACAAAACTGCCTTCCGAACTTAGTACGGATCGTACGAGTATCTGGTAATGCTGTTCGGACTCACCAACTCACCTGCAATGTTCCAAGCATACACTGGCGGAAAGTATTACTCGGATAAAATCCAATTTTAGGTTCAAATAATTATTTGAATGCTTTCAACCAAGGTATCGCCGAATCTTCGAAGCTGGCTAGTACGTAACGAGTGCAAGTTGCATTATGGTAACACGTTTGCAATTTGAAGGGGTCGCACTAATAGCGTGAACAAGATTTCAGTCGCGTGAGTGCATCCGGACAGTTTCGGCCAAGCAGTAGCCTAGATCTGTTTTCGACTACCGCATTCTCTTCGTAGTTCCTCCCGTAATCGTCGATTAGTCAGGATAGACTTTATACCCGAGGCTTCGACTAGGCTAAGATGAGACCGATAGAGGAGGCTCGTCGCGCCCGGATCATAACTTTGTTGCGTAGGGGGTACAGCACGCGGCGAATCGCGAAGGAGGTTGGAGTGGGGAAAAGCACAGTACACGACGTTGGACTTAAGGCGATTTCAGATACTACTCTTGAGTATGTGCGTCCTTCCATGACCACTGCTGGTCGTCCACACGTACTGACGAATAAAATTCATCGTGGGATTGTCAGGGCGATCACTAGCGGCGAGGCGAAAACCTCGAGGCATGCGGCCCAGATCGTCGAATCCCAGCACGGCATCACGGTGCATCCTAGGACGGTGCGTAATGCGCTCAAATCCAGCGGCCTTGTCGCCATCCAGTAGCCTAAGAAGCTTCGCACGGGCCCATGCGGATTGGACCATAGATGATTGGAGGCGGGTGATCTGGTCGGATGAAACGAGGATCAGTCGGTTCTGCTCTGACGGCCGCGCGTACGCCTGGGTTCGTGAAGGTACGGCTCTCCAACACCACCGGATCAGGCAAACCGTCAAACACGGGGGCGGCGGCCTGATGATTTGGGGCTGTGTCACGTATGAGGGGGCGGGTTTCATGTGCAAAATCGATGGTAGAATGGACGGGCCACTGTATCTGAGCATTTTGCAAGACGAGATGAAGAATACCATTGATTTTTACAAGCTAACCCCCTCGGATGTGATGTTCCAGCACGATAACGACCCCAAGCATTTGTCCCGTGTGGTGCAGCAGTGGCTTCAGGAGCAGGAGTTTGGGGTCCTGGAGTGGCCGGCAGGAAGTCCTGATTTGAACCCCATTGAGCATCTTTGGGCTCATCTTAAGAGGGAGTTGGTTAAGCATGAGACACCTCCCACTGGTATGGTGGACCTATGGGAGCGTGAACAAGAGGAGTGGGAGAAGATCCCATCAGAGGTGTGCTCCAATTTGATCGACAGCATGCCCAGGAGGGTGAAAGCTGTGATTAGGGCTAAAGGGCAGTGGACCAGGTACTAGTTTAAGGGTTGTTCAAGTAAATACTTCCGCCTGGAACTAATTGTCCACATGCACGGTGATTGGTTTTTTCTGCTTTTTACTGTTAACGACTGTAGTTTCATCAAATGTGAAGCATTGTTTCGTGTCTCTAGATTGGCCTGCATATAGTGGGTAAGGCCTTCAATTAAGGCTTAATGTACACATGCCCTTTAACGGTCGAAATTCTGAAAATTGCAAAACATGTGGACAATTCTTTCCGCCAGTATAGATGAATCATATCCTACGCCCACTCTTGGACGAATCATGGTGGTGTACTTGGATGACATCCTCGTCTACTCGCGTGACATGCAACAACATGTCGAACACCTGCGACGCGTCTTCGAGATTCTTCGACGAGAACGAATCTACGTGAAACTATCCAAGAGCGACTTCGCCCTCAAGAAAGTCCAATTCCTCTGACATATCGTAAGCACTCAAGGAGTTCACGTCGACCCCAAGAAAATCCAAGCTGTGCGTACGTGGAAAACACCCGAGAACATGAAGGAGTTACAGCAGTTCCTTGGCTTCGCTAACTACTACAACAGGTCCGTGCTGCAATACACAAAAATCGCCGCACCACTCACGAATCTGCTGAAGAAGAACACGCCCTATAACTGGGAACCAAGACATCAGGAAGCCACGGAACAGCTAGAACAAGCACTCACATCTGCACATGTACTCATCTTGCCAGACCCCGAACGCGACTACGTCATCGAAGCTGACGCCAGTGGCCAGGCAGTGGGAGCAGTCTTGATGCAAGACCAGGGGAATGGATTGCAACCAATTGCCTACCTCAACAAAAAATTACACGGAGCAAAACTCAACTACCTGATACACGACAAGGAGGCCCTTGCTATCATCATCGCCTTCAAAACGTGGAGATGTTATCTCGAAGGACGCAAAACAACAGTCTACACTGACCATTGCAGCCTAAAATATTTGAAGACGAAACCAAGCCTCTCCAGGCGACAGGTCCGATGGATTCACTTCCTCAAGACACACTTCCACTACGACATCGTGTACAAGCCCGGCCACAAAAACAAAGCAGACATGCTTAGCCGGCCTGCAAACGTTGCCGCCATCCAAGTTGAAGGGATGAATCCACTCCTTAAGGGACTCTTCACACACGGGTATACCATCGACCCCGAAATTCCCTTGGCAGAAAAACGACATCTGCTACAGTGGGACAACGACATCACATACCGGAAAGGATCACTGAAGATCTGGGTACCTAATTACCCTCCATTGCGTCAGTTACTACTCGAAGAATACCACGACGTCCTGTACGCGGGACACTTCGGTAGCAACAAGACGCTCACCGGTATCGCCTAATTCGCCACATGGCAGATAACGTACAGAAATTCGTCACCTCGTGCACTACATGTCAGCGGATGAAGAGCAGCAAGCAGAAAAAGGCAGGCCTGCTACAGCCTCTTCTTGTCCCAAAACAGCCATGGCAAGTGGTCAGCCTAGACTTCATCACCGGGCCACCACCTACCATAAGCGGTCATGACGCGATCCTCGTCGTCATTGACAAGTTCTCCAAAATAGGACACTTCATCCCGACACACACGATAGCACGTACCGAGGAGACAGCACAACCTTTTGTTTGCTACATCATCTCACAACATGGCATTCCAACCACACTCATCTCCGACCGAGACCCTAAGTTCACCAGTAAATTCAGGAGAGAACTGATGTCTCTACTCGGAACCAAACTCGCCATGCCTCAACTCCTCCACGCAACCTGCAAGGATAAAATCTCCAAGTGGAACTTGCATCTGCCCGTCCTGGAGTATGCCTACAACAATGCCACTCACGCCGCTAGTGGACAGATGCCGTTCTTCCTCTTTTACGGACGCCACCTGCTCACACCACAACAGCCAACTATACCAGCCACAGTCCAACCGGCTCATGATTTCATCACGACCATGCACAAACTTTGGGATCGGACCCACAAGCGCCTTCTCGACATTCAGCAACAACAGAAGTGCCAGGCCGATCGCCACCGCACTGACCACGCCATCATCGTGGGCGACCAAGTACTGCTCGACACGCGCAATCTTGACATCAGCCATCTCCCATCGAAAATGCGACCTCGCCTCTGCGAGACTTTTCTCGTTGAAGCACAGGTCACTCCGGTTACCTTCCGCTTACACCTGCCAGCTACCTGGAAGATTCACAACGCCTTCCATGTCCAACTCTTGTAGCCCTACTGGGATCCCAACAAGGTCTTCTCTGAACGCCAACCTCCGCCGCCGCTGCCCGTCCTCGTCCATGATGAACCCGCGTACGAAGTCGAGTCTGTGCTTGCTCACCGCCGTTGACGGAATGGCAACGTGGAGCTTCTCATCCGTTGGAAGGGTTATGATCCTTCAGAGGATAGCTGGGTCTCTGAATCCGAGATGGATCACGCTCGTCGTCCTCTTCGTGACTACCTTGTCAAGCAGGGTGTTACTTCTACCACCCAGCTTTGAGGGGGGGAAGTGTGAGAGTACGACCCCGTTCCATTCTTTTCTCCTTTCCATATTCCCTTTCCATTACATTCCTCCTTTTATCCTGATTCATTTGGTCTTTGTCTCATTCCATTTGGATTCCTATTCCTCCATTTCCATAAACCTTTCAGTTATCCTGTTATTATCATTATATCACCGACCGGGCTCGGGGTGTAGTGGCGCGCTATATCTAGCGTAATCCTGCCGTAATCCCTTAAAGCCAATAGCCTCGCGTCGCTATACGCGGGGTGATTCTATTTTCTAGAAGGGTCTATTCGCTTGAGATAGGATAGACCTGGTTACCTGATGTACTTTGGAAGTATAAAAGGGCATTATACTGATCGATAGTGCAACCTTTTCTCGAGACATTCGATCCTGTGACACGCTGGGAGAGCGGCCAGAGGTTAAGCTAGTGAGCGGAATAGCGAACAGCGAACGGCCATAGAAAATGCAGTGCACCGGCATGAATCATGGAGGTACGAGCCACCTCCATGACCAAACCGATGCGTCGCTCAGCGACCCCATTCGAAAGTGGGGAGTCCGGTAGGGTGTACGATTGGGTGATGCCCTCCGCACGACATAACTATCCAAGCCGACCAGGGGCGAACTCGCCGCCACGGTCGGAGCGGAGACACAGCGCAGGGAGACCGTGGTGGAGGCGCGCAGCCACGATCCAAGAGATAAGAACGTCAGGCATGCCGGCCTTCCGCTCCAAGGGAAACACCGTGGTATAGCGCGTGTAGTCGTCCACGAGCACTAGAAAGTAGTGCTCACGACGTGGTCCAGGGACGGGGGCTGGGCCCCAAACGTTCAGGTGCAGGGTCTGGAGGGGTGCAATGGCAGGGCGAAGTGAGGAGGAGTGAGGAGCATGGTGTCCCTCGACGCAGGGCGTACACGGCGGCGCAGGCGAGGGAGGGAGGGCAGGAAACGACGCAGGGAGACCTAGGACGAGACCATGCTGGGACATGTGACGCAGACGCGTGAGTGTGGGGTGACCTAGGCAGTGGTGCCACAGAAGCGACGGGTGAGTGAGCGACCGACACGAGCACACAGCGGCGGCTTGGATAGACGCAGGACCCAGGGAGGACGCCCCACCCGGGGGGGGAGCAGTGTCCAGTATAAACAGGCTAGACACTGGGTCCCGGGGGAACGTCACAAGGGGGGAACCTGAGGCGGCCTCGGTACAGACAGCATTCCACTCGTGATCCGAGAACGTAGTGGTAACGCCGAGGTCTTGAAGACAGCTGACACCAACTAAGTTCCGGGAGAACAAGGGGATGTGCAGGCCTGTAAGGGAACCCGAGGGAACCACTGGACAGGGAAGGATAGTGTAGCTGCGAGCAACGACAGGACCAGAGGAGCGCTAAGCAAAGTGCGACAGCGGCAAGCGCGGCAAGCGGCGTGAGTGCAGCGTGGTTACAAAAGAAGCAGGCAGACGCACTATAGTTTAGTGTGAAGGACAGCGAAGTGGTTGCGGCGGACAAAGGAGGAGCAAGGGTAGACCCTAGTCTAGACAAAGCAAACGGTCCTACGCTTGACGCAGCCGGGGAGTCTGTACTCCATACAGGTGCTACGCCTAAGGTAGAGAATACAGGGTCATAAGATCCGGGTACACAAGAAGTGTCACCATACGGAGAATGCAGGGCAGAACTAATCTGATCCATATCTATGACAAAAACAGGCACACTGTGGCGCAGCAGACTGGGCCAGTCCGGGAAGTCTGGGGCCGGGCCGAAGCGACGACGGAAAAGTTCGTCGAGGCGGCGGAAGCAGCGGGTGGCAGAACACAGTGCCATGGAGGGGCCCAGTCTGGAGCTGGTACTGGCAGCTCACAGCACCGAAGCCGCCGGTAGACGCCGAGCTACGAGGACCGTCACCGTGGCCACCACCTGCAGGGGCTCTTGGCCACCCCGGCGGGAGGCGGGCCCATGGGTGCTGCTGCTGCTGCTGTTGCGGCTGCTGCTGCTGCTGCTGCTACTGCGACTGCTGCTGCTGCTGCTGCTGCGACTACTGCTGCTATGTCTGCGGCGGCTGCTGCTGCTCCTGGAGACCAGCCCCAACCCCTTCGTCCGAACCACTATCTTCGCCACCACCACCACTACCACCAGCACCACCACCATGCCCTCCCCTGGGGTTTGCGACGGCCCTGATGCTGACGCTGCTGCGGAAAGGCCGCTGATGCGGTCTCAGTGGCAGGAGCAGTCGTCCCGACAGCGGCGAAAACGTCAGCGTACGTGCACTGGGAGGGAGCACAGCCGTGAAAGATAGGGACTCCCGCAACACCGCTCGACTGAGCGATAGTGCGCTAGCAGGTCTCTATCTCAGACAGAGCAATGACAAAGACGGTCATGGTGAGGTCACTAGGGGTGGCTAAGCAAGTGGTCACGGGCAGTGGCTAAGCGGTCAGGCAGGCGCATGGCAATCAGGTACAGTGTAGCGCAGAATGGTGGGGGGAAGGCAGTGAGCTGGGCGGTAGTGCTAGCAGCGTGGTAGCTAGTCTCTAGAGCACGGATGTGAGTGGCAAGGTCAACGACTGTGGGGAAGTCTGA